CTTGCACGTTTGTTTCTTGCACCATGAACATTATCCACTCTTCTAGTGTTGTTCGATCGAGGTGTTGTATTCTCATGGAGTGGGCCAGGTTGTTGTATGCTTGTCTCCAATGTCGTGGAAGGAGATCTGGGTCGAACTGTTGTTGTTGGACTTGGTGGCGGCACTGGTGGACGAAATATAAACAACATCAGAAGACATTCCTTCGAAGTAAGGGTCGTCGTCATTACCTTTCATAGTTAAGTCCATGTCGGCATTGCTTTTTGTAGGTACATTGTTTGGTTTCAGTGTTTGTGGTGAGGTCATATTGATTTGGAATACCCAGTCGTCGTCTGACGATGCGTCCATTTTTTCAGTTTCTTTCATGGATTGTTCTAATTTGTTTTTTCCTGTTCGTGATGTTCTGTTAGTAAATCGTACCACATGTGAGGGGTTCAAGGCCTTGGTAACATGCATCAAGAATGGTGTTGTTTTGGTTTTGTACACGTATGTGCGCACTCTGGGCAGGGAAGTACTAAGTGAGCGAAGTGTTGCTGGTTATGAGCACGGGAGTTCGCTTGAGAAAAATATCCAGTCGACACTTCTGGCGGACCATCGTGTCTGCCCCCTCCAAGATCAACTTAGCGTCCTCTTCTATCAATATGACATTCCTGTCAATCGCATCCTGCCATATGAAATTGCTGTTACCGGTCATTTTGACCTCTCCATAAAATCTTGTGATTGGTATCAGAGATCTTGCGAGTAGGGATTTCCCACTATTGGGTGGGCCAAGCAACATGAAAGTATTTAGCTTATTTTGGGTTTTGTAGAGGACCCTGTGTAGTTGTGCAAGAAATTCATGCTTGTCCCAGTTGTTGTGTTCAACTAACGCGTCAAATATTTTCAACGATGTTTGTTTGGTTTCATATTGGGGTGTGTTTTGATCCTGAGTGTCTACGTATTCCTGCAAGAGTTGATCGAAATTTAGCGTTTGGGTTCGCTGACATTCGAGGGCTAATGCTTTCTCCAAGAGTGTGTTGTAATTTGAACTTGCTATAATATCAAATAGCATGTTATTTTGTTTCTGGCTTAGTTTCCGATCATTGTAAAGGGTCATAATTTCCCCTGGCTGTTTTACGTTGTTGGACTTCACGATATCTATGAGAAACTTTAAGTTCTCCGCGTTTTTGTTTGTGTTTTTTTTGTCATGTGATTGTTGTCGAACATTTGTTCTTCCTGTTCGTTAGGTGGGTTTTGTTTGATCATTTCTTCCCAGTAGGGTGTCATTTCGGTTATGTGTCTTGGATCTTTCTGAAAGTATCGGATCCAGCCCGTGGGCTTTCTCATTTTTTCTAAATGCGCTTGCATCTGTGCTGGGTAGTTTAGTTTACTCCATTTCATGAATTGCATCTACCTGTAATTTATGCTCAAGTGGTACTGTGTGTTTGTCTGAATTCCTATATGAAGATGTTCGATCCCGTGCCAAGGTTTATTTGATTCCGGGTCGTTTTGTTCCCTTTTCTGAGGTGGGTGGTTCACGATGATGTAATCACCTATTTGCTTTAGTGTTTTTTCAGTTGTTTGTAATATTCCCCCTGAATAAAGTTCTGGTATGGTGTCATGGTTTGTATTACAACTGCCCAACATGAATCCGAAGTACTGAGGGTAATGATTTGGCCCTTACCTTTCGTGTCTCCTTTTGTGTTGTGTTCCATTCCCACGTTGTTGGTATGAGTGATAGTCCTTTGCCTCTTGGTGGGAGGTCCTTCGAACTCTTCCGAACTATCCAATTCGCGCACAGTTCCTTCAACAGTTATCCTGTATTGAGTAACCCGCTCCTAACACGATGAACAGCAAGTTTAAACTGACGATAATGGCCGTTGCAGCGAGCTTTTACTTTCGCCTGGGGTCCGTTTCCATGATGATGACGTCACTTTTCACGCGCCGTGATGTCATAACCTAGCCGTCCAATCATAGCTTAGTATTGCGAGACCTTCCATACTCGACACGGACTGGGCCGAGGGTGGGTTTTTCACGCCGAACACGGTCTGTATAATTATGTCCTCGAGAGTGTTCAAGGTCGTGCGGCTTTTCGAGTTTTAATAAATGTTTCATCAGGATTTCTAATATGTGTTGATATTCGTCATGTTGTTGGCCAAGCTGATGTAGTGCGGCAGTGTTGTATACGTGCGCAGTGAAGCGCCGTGAAATCAGATGCATTTTCAATCGAAATTGATACCGTCTGATTTTATGGATTGACCAATCAAATTCGAGCATTTCACGCAGCGATGGGAGAATATGTTCTCATCACGATATGGCTGCAATATTGCCAATGTGACGTTAAATAATAACTCACTCACTCATCACGATAGGTGTACGAATTATGCACGATCTTACACAATGTTGTGAACAATCAGAACTCTTCTCTCCAAAACGACTCACCTTCACGTCCACGCTATGGGTGTATAATGCAGTGAAAATGAGGGAAAGGGCATCAAGGAGGAGAAGAAGATTGGAGCTGGAGCTAGAACTAATTGATATGGAGGTGGAGGAGAAGATGAGTGAGAGGAGGAGAAGATGAGTGAGAGGAGGAGGAAGGGCCACCAAAAAAAGAGAGGAGTAAGGACAGTGTGGACACGAGACTGGTTGCTACAGAGCCTCTGTATGGGCAGTACGAGATTTTGCTAGCGTGAATGAAAAATGAAGACAGGGTCAGCTATAAGAACTTCCTCAGGGTGGACAGTGCTCACTTCCAAGAGTTGGCCACTCGAGTTGGCCCCTACATCAAAAGAAAGATACTCCTTTCAGGAAAGCACTCGGCCCAGGCTTGAAGATTGCTGTTACTCTTCACTACCTGGCTACGGGGAACAGCTACTTAGACTCAGGTTCCCGAGGATGTCTGGGTCTCCGTGAAATAATGGGTGAACTATGTGGTCTTAGAAGAATCTTTGTTCAGAGGGAGAATCTCTCTTGACACTTACTGGTCTTGTTCCGTTTTGATTGAGGTCACTGATTAGAGCTGAGATTGGCGTCGCTGGTGGTGCGTGATGCCTCGGCTGATGCAACTGCTGTTGTAATCGTGGAAACTGCTGCCGTTGAAACTGCTGTGAATGCTGCTGCTGTACAGGAGATGGTGAGAGGTATAGAGGATTTAGAAAATGTGAACAGTTCAGGAGGTGCATCTTGTGTTAACACTAACTTGCGGAATTTTATCTGTTTTTATTTATTATGTTCATCCTCTGTGTTTTGGATGTATTTTAATATACATGGTTAAGTCGGTTGTCTACCTCGGCCAGACTTTGCCAAAGACCTATTTCTTGGATACGTTTTGCATGTTCTCTTAATTTCTTCTGTTTTTTCTTTTCCATTTGTTCTTGTGTTTGTCTGATTTTTTGGTGTTTTGCCAGCTTATATTCATTTTTGCGTGTTATAAAAGTTGCATATGTAGTTTGGTACAATTTAAATGCGTGACCGAGGACGGTGGTCCATTTTTGGTCGGACATAGCACTGATCCAGCTACTTACTTAATTGAAATTAAACATGATATGGGCTTCTTGGGATAAAATACAGGAAGACGGTTTGCTATGCTGTAAGTAATCTAATTGGGCAAAAACAGTTTCGGGGAGCTTGTTATTCTTGATTACAGATTTACATTCGGGATGGGTGAGGTTTGTTTTTGCAGAGTGCTCGCCGCCAGGGAGTTGGTCTGTCAGAAGGACCACCGTCGTCATTGTCATCTGTTTGTCTTTTGTGACCTGAATCAGAGTCTCTGTTGTTGTTTGTCATGAATAAATTGCATTGCCCTATAATAAATAGTGCGTAGTTGAGAGTTTTCATGTTGTTTAAGAGTGTGGTGTAGATGCTACTCATGTCCAGCACGCTATGATCACGCCCCTCCAAAATATTCCACAGAGGGGTAGTGATAAATTTTGAAATCAGGCCTAAAGCTCGACACCCTGCTAAATTTAAACTACTGTTTGATGGAAGCCAAAAGGAGATTAGAGCCTGCATTTACAGTATCAAAGAAAGATACAAACTGCTTATGTAAATAATATACCACCGCGGCATTGTGGAAAAGGATGTTGAAACGGTTGCCATGGAAATTTGTTAATTTATTCTGTACCCCTTGATTCTAAGAATAGTGTCATAAGTTCGTAGCAACCGCGAAAACGCCTTGAAGGACATCCTAATCAAACCTACAACTTCACTTTCCGACCGGGATGTTTTAGCAATCTTAGCCTCGTACTGGCTAAGAGTGGACTCACTTTGGTCGGCAAGGTTGACCAAAAGGTGAAGACCACAATAGAAATTGTGCATGTTGCCCAGAGACTCCGGCTCACGTTTGGACAGGACATTCCACCCTGGTATGATTTCCGAACGTAGCGCCGTTCTGTAATCCAAGATCTGTTAAAGGATTATTCGGTAGCTGCACGATCTGACATGGTGGAATGGGCCTTGGGTTGAAGCCTCACTAAATTAAGAACGGCTTTTATAACAGGCCCTACATGTGAATAACCTACATTTTCAGCCAAAAGATGCAACCCGCATTTAACCGTCTCTACACTATAAGCCTTCCCTTTCATTAAGTCGATATCTTTGAATTTGGAATTCAATTTGGTACCGGAAAATTCCAATGGGGGTGGGGGGGTGTTCCATTCCACTTCTGTAATTTCTGTAATGAACTTATCGATGTCCATTTGTAACTTGTCACACTTCTTGCAGTGAGTCTGTGTCTGTGTCTGAACATGAGCATTAATAAAGCGTTTGGAGGTTACGTGGGAAGTGCGTTTATCTTTCCGTTTCTGTAGTTGTTGTAGCATCTGTTTCTGTTTTTTCACTTTCTAAGCGTATTTGGTGTTTTGTGATTTTAACTTTATATAATCCTTGGATGAGTGTGCACCTTGAGAGGCAGAAGATTAGTGAGAATGTGAATTGGAATTGGTGCTGGGGTTGTGAGTGGACACGGATGTAGCGGGAGCAGAGACAAAATGTTACCAGCCCAAAATGGATTTAACCAGACCAAATATGGTGAATTTACTCAGATGTATGGACCATCTAAAAAAAAAATTTACCAGACCATCGGGCTGACTAGCTGTAAATTTAGACCGTCCGTCAGAAAACTAGCCCGTCTCGGTCGGTCGGACGATCCTTATTGCATACACTGTCATTAACTTTGAAAGATGTAACATTTACCCGTATCCTCGATCCGATCACTGATGTCCTGATGAGCACTCGCTTCATCAAAAGACGACAAATGCAAGGAGGGTGGTGTCACAAGATCTATTTAGTAATTACGGCAGCACGAGGTGTACATGGTACATGCAAAATCTTAATATAATACGAGCGGTCGATCGAAAGCAATTTCCTCGTGGCGAGAATATCCATATCATGAAATGACGTCACGAGAAATTCATGTCAGTGACAGCTGCGCGGTGAGTAGCCTGGACCGCCGGGCAAACGAGGAGAACGATGAAAACGACAAACTCGCCTCTCTTTCAGTTAGGCAAATTCGGACGAAGAAACGATTTCTGGTGTTATTAAGATGATGAGACGAATTTAGTGAGCTCAGAAGATGTTTGGCGAATTTCGTCAAGAATTAAAGGAGGAAATGAATAAGCTTTGGGCGGAAAACAACGAGTTGAAAGATCGGTTATCGAAGCTGAACAACCAAGACGCTCAAAGCAGGAGGTCAAACGTCATCATCAAGTTGGGGACACCCCCCCAATTGGTATATGGTGGTGAAAACCGACCTTTATCTCCCCAAAACAATAATACCTTAGCCCAGTTTATAGATAAAAACGATCGTTTTGCTCGCCTTTGGTCTACTTATAAACTGGCGAATCATGGAATGTGCACACGCTTTAGAAGCACGTCTGTGCCCTTCAACACCTAATATTTGTGAAAGATCAGGACTACGCCGCAGTTGGGTCGACTGGTCGGAAATAAATATTAATCGGCGATCAGTCAGCGAACTTGACGATCCGAATTATTGCGAGGTCAACACTCTCGGTAGCTGCGGTATCGCTGCTGCTGGTTATAAGCTGACCCTACTGAACTGTTGATACACAGAACATTATGGTGTTCAGCCGATAAAATCCCGATTCTAAACATGCCTTACTAACAACCTCGAGCTCATCATAACGTATAGGAATCCGTTCCTTAAACTATCGTGTTCACATTATGTCCATATATATTTGATTAAAGGCACTATTTCACACTACACTTCTCTAAAAATAAATATGTATTGTCCTAAATAGTTGTCTACATTTTAAGATATATGCTAGCTAGTTTTAACCTATTTTGTGATAATCTAGTCATTTTACTGTGTTTCGTTGACTGTGTTTTATATATTATATGTATGTATTATGAAATTAAAAATAGTTTTAGTCACGATATAGCTGAAATATTGCCGATGTGACTTTAAATTTCAACTCACTCATTCACTCATATATATCGTCATATTGAAAGTACAAAGAACATATCTAACAAAACTGTGTTGGATAATGTGATGTTTTAATATAGGTAGGACCGTGAACGATGGGGACCGGTGGGAACAAAGGAAGACATTATTGTATTTGATTTCGCATATTCGACATTGGTTAGATGTCCCTTGGTTTACAGATGTTAGTGATGTGCTTTACCCGAATGTGCAATACTAATATCTGAATGATAGTATGAACAGTGTACATACTTTGGAATAACCGGGACTTCATGGGGTAGATGTATATTTGTGTATTTGTTAATATACTTCTGACCGTATATGATTTTCTATATATTTTTGAATCCGATGGCCCATGTGATCCTGATGAACGCTCGCCATGATGCCACTGATTCGGAAGCATTCGTATAAGATCGGTAGAAACCTGGACAATACGTGGGAACATGACGATGAAGACCGGAAAAATCAGCCAGTCAGAATACATGTGTACTTTGTATTTTCGCGACATCAACCGAAGTACTTGACCTGTATCTATCATTCAATGAACATTACGGTCACGAGTTTGAATAAATTAACTTTCGGTTGGAAGCGCGAAAGGGAGGTCACTCTAGTTTAGTTTCGCTTTCATGTCGTGTTTACGCTGGCAAGTAAAGCTGACGTGAAAAGAATGCATGTTTGTTTGTTTTTGTAAAAAAAAATATGTGTTTTTATAGGTTTGCATTCAATAAATCCCTGTCAGGGTACAAACTGCAATAAATACGCCAGGTAGGCAGGTCTACAACAAAACATTCTTCTTCACAACAAATATCTCTAGAATACCGTTTGATGACATGACGGTTAAATCTGTCAACTCCCTGGACAGTAAAATCACAACACAATTGACAGTTTGTTTGCTCCATATAAAATGTACAGTTTGATTTTTCGACGATAATTGAACAAATACTGACGCTTTAAAGCCTAAACTGTGAATTTGAAGACTTAAAAGAACTTTATCTAAGAACTGACAGAATAAAAAGGCGTGTCTAGCTGATGATGATTTCATATTTCGTGTTGAAACGATTTTCTTTCGACGACCCCCGCGATCTTCTTTCGATACTCAGGAGGGTGCCCTCGCTTAACGCGCAATTGCAATAAAAATATAGGGTGTCAAGCTATTACAGAAAGATGTGTACGTTTCTAGAACGGTCTGCCAAAGGGCAAAACCTGATATACTTGCAAAATAATGAAAATGCGAGGGAAAATTTACCATAACTCTTGCGCCACGTGTTCATCTTTCACTATTCAGCGAGGAAATGGAGTTGCTTTGGGGGCAACTCCACATTTCGCGTGGACAGCGCTTCCACCCTGTGAATATGAAATCCTTCCAGTGGGGCACGAGTCGGTATTCGGATTATCCCCGAATAACACGAGCTGTTCTCAAATGATTCAAGGCCAAGACAAATTCACTGGCGATTGTGAAGTATGAGTATCAGAGAAAAAAAATGATAGAAAAGGCTTTGAGGAATCAGAGACGGATTGTTTCTGAGACAAGTGACCCAGCCAGTTTGAGAGAAATAAGAAGAAAACAGATTACCAGAGAGAAGTATGATAAATAGAAGTGATTCTACCCTTGAGTTTGCCATGCAAGTCAGTCAGATATGTATACATTTGCAAACAGAAAGAAATCTGCACGAGAATGGCAAACATTTGCCTTGACTGCACAAGTATGGCAAATATTTGCATTGGTTTGTGGTGGAGCCCCTCAAAGAAAAAGCAGAACTGTTTCAGAAGAGGATGAATGGATTTCAAATGAAGGCCCCTACAACAGAGACTGTTACAAGAATTCACACTAAAGAATTGTGTGTTAACATTGTTGTTAGATTTCGCCACTCATGTCACAGCAACCAATATGATTTCATTGAGACCTATCTCGGGAGTCCTGGCAAAATAAGAAGAAAGAAGCACACAGGAAATTGAAAAAATTAAAAACTGATAAGATACAAAGGACAGCTCACAAACCTTAGAGCCGTTGGAAGGATGTTCAGAAGGTCGTGGCAGAGGCAAAGCGGTGGCATCTGCATTGACTGTTGAAAACCAAAAAAATGTGGGATATGAGAGGCTCAATATCATATTGACTCTGTTGCCTGTGACAGATGGGTTTTATGGATTTTGTCTGAAAGTGTATGACCCAGATTCTTTACCACAAGAATGGTTCTGTGCCCAGTGTAATGAATACATATACTGCAAAAAGCAGAGGGAATGATCTCAAAATATTTTATTTTTGGTTATTATTCCACTTTTGACAGCACATACATTGTTAATAATACATGGTTGAATTATTCAGTTATATGTTTCAAATGTATTAGATTTATTTATCATTAATTATATAATATGGTAACAAGCATTTTCTAGTTACTATTATAACTGGGTGTTCAGTATATTTCCAGCACACAAGAGAAAACGGGGCCAAATCATTGAATTATACGTCATCAAATTATACGTCATTAAAATAAAGTGAGTGAGTGAGTTAATATTTAACGTCACATCGGCAATATTTCAGCCATATCGTGACGAGAACATTTGATATTGAAATGAAATATATGTATATTATAAAAAACCTACCGACGAAGGACAGTAAAACAACTAGAATATCACAGATATGTATGTAAAACTAGTAATTAAATCTAAAACGTTTTAACTACAGGGGAAAAACAATACAGTATAAAAATGGGCTATAAATCGCCAATAACTGAAGGTAGATCACCATACCAGGGACCATGGGGACTTACATTACTTTTGCTACCTGCATGGACCCTAGTTGGATTTGCACCATCCCTTCAGCCATTGGCGACAGAAGAGAAATCTAGCCATAAATTAAAAGCACACATATTCTACGATTAAAAACGTGGCAAGCCTAATTCTTTTAAAAATTCAACCATTAAATGATAATTAACATTATAAAAAAGATCCTTCAATGTTTTGACATTGAAATACTTATCCCTTGTGATGGAATATTCAACACAGTCAAGCAGGACATGCTTGACTGTGATTCTTTCATCACAAGGGATGCAAAACGGAGGATCTTCGCCTTTCAGTAAATATTCGTGAGTATATCTAGTGTGGCCAATGCGACATCGTCGCATAATGACCTCTTCAAATCTGGATTGACAACCCAGGTAGGTGTAACAAATATAAGGTTTTATTTCATGTAATTTATTTATACCTACTTGGGTGTTCCACTTCTTCTGCATTTTGCTACCCGAAACATCCACTCAAACTGCTGAAGTCATTCCAGAGGCCACATGTGTTCATGATGCACCTTGTATTACAGAGAAATCATCTCAGCCAAATACAAACTTTTAATCTCAATCAAATACGAAAGAAACTGTTAAAAAAAAGCCTAAATCTAGATGTGAATCTTTACAAAAGAATTAAAGTGGCAGAGCCTCAAAGGGGTCTAATAACAAAATCCAACTTTTTAATAAGTTCGGATCCTTAGAGGACATGGATGTGTCCGAAAACATCCAAACTAGGGCACATAGCTTGTCGCCCTCAGGCAAAGTGCGGGGTAGATCCCCAATCAACCCACCAAACAGTTAATGTATTCTAAAAATATAGTACAGTGGAATTGTAGAGGATTAAGGACTAATTTTAATGAATTACAGTTATTAGTCCAGGATCTGGCACCATCGGCATTCTGTCTGCAGGAAACTTATCTGAAACAGACAGATACTTTTAATCTACG